GGGAATATTGTCTTACTTCTGTGTCTAGAAGTTTTTTGTTGCTTCTTTCCAAGTTGGTACTTGGGATGTGTGTTGCTCATTTATGAAGGTATTGAACCAGATCTTCATATGTTGCAAATAAGCATAGCTCCATGCTTAGTTAAATACAAGATGTCATGCCACATGATCCCCATGGTGGCTTTTTCAGGGCTTAGTGCTTGGAAGTTTGCATCTTGACAGTGCTATTTATCCCAAGAAATAGTCAAGCAGAGCTCAGGTAATCAGCTTAGATCTATACTAAGCAGGTTAATGGTTTCTTTTCCCCAGAGTTTTTCTAATTGACATTGTTGAGAATAGGCACCGGCAAGCAGAAGTCAATAAAACAAACCTATCCCTGAAAGTCATGTGAAATCCAAAAGCTATGGCAGGAGAGGGGGGAAGGTAAGGTGGTATGTGTGATACTGAACTGTGACAGACCAGACACTTTCACACTGAACTACTGGGCATCAAATTGTATTTACTACTTGGCAGTAAATCATCTCTCACCAAAAGAAAAGCAAATGGCAAAGGCCTTCCCCTCAGCTCTCTAGGTATCTGGAGCCTTCTCATCTTGCTGTATGTATTATTAGTCAGCCTATCTGAGGAATTTAATATTGCAAGCACTACAGTTAGGATGAATGGGTTTGGTGGGATCATATCCTGTGACTGAGTGAACACAGTATCAGGAGAAGGAGGTATTACAAAAATGTGTGGAACTACTGTTGCTTGGCATAAAAATGTGCCTTCTATATAGCACAGCTTTTATTCAACTTTTTTCAAAGGAAAATGGAAGAGTATGGAAAGGTTCAGACTACTTTTTAAGTTTAGCACCATTTAAATCAAATCCAGTGGGGTTAACAACTTAGAAAATAAGATCTTCAAGGAGTTTTGTCTTTGCTTCCCACTTCACTGGCTCATCTTCACTCAGCCCATATTTGCTTTACATTAAGGTCCCTTCCTGGGCGGTTGGCTCAGGGAAACTAGGCTTAGCATAAGCCACATCCATGCTCCAGTGAGTTTGGTTTTGCTGAATTTGGTTGTGCTTGAGGCCAAGTCTCCTATTCAGTACCCAAATCAAACAAATGTCATTGTCGATCTAGCTTTAAAATTTTGTCATTCTCAGTATATAGGGTCACAGGACTGTGTATCTTATATGGTTCTCTCTGATTCTTATTGGATTTCCAGTGCGTGAACCTGATGGGAAACCTATGGTGGCTTTTATCATGGCTACCTGTGCACTTTTCCTTCTGTGGTGATTTTTATATATTTTAATTTTATTTTTGCTGTTGTGAGTAATGAAATGTATTGTGGTTAAGTATGCATCAGAAGGCAGGATGGCTCTGCCCTGAAATCCACTGAGACTTTCCTGGGAGTGGGTGAACATTAAGCCATAGCAAAGAAGGTAATGTAGGTTAGTGACAGAAGTTGCAGAGGGGTAGATAATCTGTGCAAGCAGAAGCAGGGCCAGCGTTAGTGTTTTTCTGAGGATATACAAGATTGCCTGATCAGCGTATCAGCAGTGCAGCCAGTAAACAATTTATATGAACATTCCATGTGACCCCACACAGCGCAGATGCCTAAAATCCATTATGTGTATACAAGGGCTGCTATCAGCAGCAACAGTGGGTCCCTGGTGCAATTTCTTTGACAGACAGGTTGGGTGAATATTTGCGGGGAGAGCTCTGAGGAAGAGAGAGGTAGCAGCGAATACTTGGTCAGAATGTTTATGTGGCTTATTGCATAGCATAGCTATTTGTAGCTGCTGTTCATTTTCTTCTGATGCGTGCCACAAATTCCAGATGTAGATTTGAACACATCAGCATAATTCTTGTTTCCATTAGTGCTGATGGAAAGTAAAGCATTCAGAATTGAATTTAGGACTTGAACATCCAGAGGTTAGAAAAGCCCTCTGTACAGAACAGTTGTACAGTGAGTTTTTATTTGGATCCACTCATGAATAGTAAATTTTGTACAAGCTAAAAGTGTGGCCTTGAGGTCTGAGCTGAGGGTGAAGGAATCTGGAAATCTGTTTCCTGCTTTGTCTTGGACTCTCCATTTAACCTTTGGGAAATGATTTTAACTTCTGTTTTTCACTTTTCTCATGTGTAAAATTGGCATATCTGCCACACAGGAATATTGTGAAGTTTAATTCCTGCATATAAAGTGCTTTGAAGCTCTAAAATGAAAGCCAACATGTAAGACCAAGAGCACAGGTTTTTTTAATGTAAAGGGCTGTCGGCACACTGCATGCCGAGGGATTTTGAACTATAGTCTATTTACTTTCTTTGTTGCACCCATTAGTGTGGTATCTAAATGGTTAAGATCAGGGGAGATGTTGTTTTTATACACATACTATCTGCTTAATAAGGTGGCTGTAGGATCTGGGTTGTTCGTAAAGGAGTCCTAGTCCAGCCTGAGGCTGCTCCACTACCAGCTGGCTGTTTCTTGCTATGCTGCTATGCATGGTTTATGTTGTTTCATTTTTCTATAAGTGCTAAAAGTGCTTTCACCTCGTCTGTTATGAAGGTTTTTTTCACACTACACTGAAGAATATTCTCTTGACTTTTGTAGAGGGTTAGAAAATGTCCCCTTTTAGCCTACTCCACCTTCTGTAGAAGCAGACTTCTTAGTAATGACAAAGGCAGCTAAAGAAAAGGAAGAATAAGGGAATGTAGATCTCCGTGGTTCACTATGCAAAACTCCCCAGCTCTGAATGTCTAAGTGTATCCATTAGTCATCGTGTTATCCCCTGAACAGTTAATTTTGTGGCTTCCGTTCAAGTGGTTTTCTGGAAAGAATAGCAGTTATATATGTACTTATGCCCCTCTCCTCTTGTCCAGGAGTTCAAAGGATATTTCCTCAGTGGAAGTACCATTTTAGACAAAGATTATGGCCTCATATCAGTGCAGGAGACTGTCCTTACAGCACAGTTACCTTCTAGGTATCAAATGTTGCGTAGATGTTCACATTTCCCAGAAACTTTACAGAGGACAAGGCTCCTGTTACTCCGGTTTAGCCTGAAAGATAATAGCCACAAAGGACTGCAACAGCAAAACCTGTTTGTGACTCATGCGGCTGTAAAGAGACAGAAGGAGAACTTGGGGCCATCACTGCAGATTACACGTTTCAGTTTTGCCCTCTGGGGTTATGCGATGTCTGGTTGAGCTTTTGCCTTTTTTTTTTTGCATTGTTGCAAATAAGTCCCTAAAGCACTGGTAGATGCAGATTGGCAGTTTCTGCCCCTTGTGGCTTATTACTTTAAGAATCACTATATGTATTTAATCATTTGAATGACTTGTTTGTGTGTTTTATGGGGGGAGAGTGGGGAAGGAGAGAGGGAAATGCCTTTATTGTACCATAAGGCTTCCTCATTTTATGCAACTGCTGTCTGGTTTCCCCTTCTCCTTATTCCCAGTCTCTTCCCTCTCACACCTTCTCTAACTCACTCAGGGTATGTCTACACTGCAGCGTTTTTCCAGGAAAATCTTACTTACATCCACACTGCAATTGCGTTCTTTCGACAGAAAGTTGAAAGAACGGAGGGGGTGTTTTCCAACAGCGGTAGACCTCTTTCTAAGAGAGAGAAGCATTTTTCTGAAAAAGCTTGGTACGTGGATGCAGAAGAGGGAGTTCTTTCGAAAGAAGAGGCCTGTACTTGGATGCAGAAGAGGCCTCCAGGAAATAACACAAGTGCCCAGGTGGCCACTTCTGTCCATACTAATCACAACTTAAATGCGAGATAGTGTCCAATCAGTGTGGATGCTATCTTTAGAAAAACCAGATCACTTTTTCCTTGCACTTTTGCTGTGTGGATGCTCTCTTTCGAAATAAGCTTTTCCGGAAAAGCTTCTTCTGAGAGAAGCTTGCAGTCTAGACATAGCCTCAGAGAGACATTGTCAAGCCCAGTGCCTCCCCTACTGAGGTTCACTGTCCTAAACACAGATCCAGAAAGCCAGAGCCTGCCCAGTAGGATTGGTGGGGTTTAAACTAGAGATATGCCAGATCTCACTATCCATCTGATTCCCTTCAGCTTCCCAGCGCCTGATGCATCTCCCCTTTCTGATAGGCTCCTCCTCCTGCAAGGCTGGGTTTTTGAATTGGCTCCATGACGAGGCTTCGTCTGTCAGTTAAACTCTGCCACTTTCAGCATGCTGCTTCCAGCCCAGCCCAGAATGCTGGTGGAGTGAATTGTTCCCCTTCAGCATCATTTTCCTATGTTACTAGCTTCCATGAGCCCTGGAAGCAGAGTTGGGTTGGAATTGGAATACTGGGAATGCAGTGTGTTACTCTTCTGTCAACATTTGTAAAGGATTTTAAATTTTAAAATGCATCAGGCTTGCTAAATGTGTAAGAGACCTAGCAAGAGGCATTCACAGCATTCCACAGGAGGCTCATGTTCGGTGGTGATCGTCTCACATCTGTGTTGCACCTCTCATCAAGAAAAATCTCTCAGCGTAGTGTTCCTCTGCAGTCGTCACTGGATTGGAACAGCCCCGCTGTTTAATGCTCACAGCAGCACTATCCAATTACATAGTGCAAGAGTGAGGAGGAATATGATGTTCTCCTGAAACTTCAAAGGGAATTTAGGCAGGTGGAATGTCATTGCCCCAGTAGAAATTTGGCCAGGACATCGGGGCTAAAAGTCCCATTTTTCAGAAAAGCACATAGGATTTTAAATGACTCCAAGTGACCAGGGACTCCTTCGAAAGAGAGCACTTCCAGTAGCAGTAGGGTATTTGAGGTTATTGAATCCATATTGACTCAGAGGAAAGGTTATTGCCTGCTTGGTCACCTTCATCAGAGGTTTTCCCATCTGAATGTTTGTCATTCTCAACTCTGCTTAGTTTGTGAAATCTAACCAGATGTGGCAGCTTAAGATGGTGTGTCCGCAGGCCAAATATAATGTGCTTGCATGTGAAAGCAGTTTTATCAGCACCTTATTTGTGTTGTGTGAACAAACCTCTCCTGTGGTTGCTTTTCAGCTGTATGTCTCCTCAGAGAGCCGCTTCAACACTTTGGCAGAGTTGGTCCATCACCATTCAACTGTAGCAGACGGGCTCATCACCACTCTACACTACCCAGCACCCAAACGCAACAAGCCCACTATCTATGGAGTGTCGCCAAACTATGACAAGTGGGAGATTGAGCGAACTGACATCACCATGAAGCACAAACTTGGAGGTGGCCAGTATGGAGAAGTTTATGAAGGAGTCTGGAAGAAATATAACCTTACAGTGGCTGTGAAAACATTAAAGGTAGAAACTAAAACATTCATAGCCTTTTAATTAGAATGCAAGTCTTATGCCACCCATTCATAAGCCTGGCTCTTTGACAGCACTCTGTCTGTCTTTCTCCATCAGGGTCAGATGATGCAAATTGTTGGAAATCCTTTCTTTGCTTACATCTGGTCTAGAACATCTGTGGCTATTTAATTAACTGCATTTGTCAGCCTCTTCTAATTATTTTATACTTATGTGAGTGCTGGACTATTTGTATATTAGAGTCTGATGATCTGTGGATATTGCTTTATGTGCACAGAGTCCTGTGTGGATACAAAATTTGGTCTATATTGTTTTCCAAGGATCCAATTAAATAATTTCTAAGATTACACAATAATTACAACTAAGTCAGACTTATAATAATGTTGTTCAGGCTTGTAATATAGGCAAAACCTTATTGTGTCCAATAACCAGGCTAAAGTATTGGATGTGTGTGTTTCTCACATTTTTGGGAATGAGAGCTTCAAAGGTGAGCTGTGACATAACTGACATTGACTTGTAAAGATTATTGTGGGATGTAAAACAGGTGATGTAATTAGAGATCATGCTTCACTGATACTTCACATCATGTGCTTTTCCCAAGAGATGAGTTCCTTGTACACTTAAGAATTGCGTATTCACTGTTAAAAGATTTAGGATGAGGGGAAAGAACTTCCTATACTAAGTAAAATAGATTAAATTGTTAGTGCGTTGGACTAGAAGTAAGAGAATCAGGATTCTGTTCCTGCCTCTGCTTCTTAGTCTCTCTATGCATTGGTTTCCCATCAGTGCATTGCAGATACTACTTACCTAACTCAGAGGCACTAAGATTTGATTTTTGTCATTTATAAAAGCATGCGGGGATCCCCTAGTGTCTTCCATCTACCTAGCGTAAACTCTTAGGAATTCAGATGCAAGATGAACACCTTGCCATCCTTCCTAGATTTGCCGTGTGGAGTGGTGCTACAGAAGCAATAACAAATGAAAGCTATCATGTTAGAAATATGAAATGGAGAGAAATGTGAATACATGTCTATGAAAAAAATGCTTCCTGGACCTCGGAAAAGTGATTTTTTAACCCCTTGAATTCTGGCTATCAGCGCGTTCCTGGGTTGTTATGGTTTCAGAAGGTGATCATTTGGGTGGTTGGTTGGTTTTGAAGATTCTTGTTAGAAGTGTTACTGTCTCCACTTGGTTTCATCAAGAGAACTAATACTTTGTAAGTCTCCTTTCTGGTTTATATGTGGAGAGAGTGACACCTAGTGTTAAAGTGTGATTATATCTCATTTGCACAGGAGAATGCTGAGAAGAGCCTTTCCTTGCATCCCATAGTCCTGCTAGAATAGGGATTTGACAAGCAGAATTAAATGTCTATTTAGAGGAATAATGAGACACCAGTTGTTTTCCTGAAACACTGAGTTTATTGTAGCCTTCCCCAATCTTCTTGATGTTGTGGTATTTGAGAGTAAAGGGACGTTTTCAGATTTTCCCCCCCTTACCTCAAATAATTTTGCATTCCTTTCTAGTTTGCTTTGATGAAAACCTCCAGCAACAAAGGCACAGTTTGTTATCCCGTAAAATCTCCCATGTCTGTGAGCCAGAAACAGTTACCTTAATAAGGACTGTGACTGTTTCAAATATGCCAAGTAAATACTTAATGACTGAAAATGGTTCATAATGTAATCCAGAGCTGCATTCTCCCCTGGGAAATGTTACAACACCCTAAAAGAGACTGAAGAAACATGGTAATCTGAAATTATGCACACTAAACCTTACTTAAAAAGCAAATTCATAATCCACCTTCCTTAAATCCATCAGTCTACCTCAGACAGATAGGATTATGACTATCTTCAAAGTTTCAGGGAATATTTAATACCTCACATTTATATTCCAACTCCTGCAGGAGGAGACAAGTGTTCAGTGGCTTCTTTAGAGAAAACCAAATCATTCATTTTATTGTCTTTTAAGAGCATATTTCCCAAACCTCTTTGGCCTTTCTTTGTCTCCCTCCCTGCCCCAGATCCGCATAGTAGAAATCATAATGAAAAGAAAAACGAGGGGAAAATACATCATTGCTTCTTCTGATATCCTTAGTGCTTGATGAATTATTTCCTTGCATCTTACTACATCCTGTTTGTAACCCAGTCTTCTTTAAAGTGGTTAGAAGTAGCTCAGAGCCTGATTAACCAAGAAGTTTATGTAGAAAGAAAATAAGAACCCAAAGTGACATGTCCTCTGCTTCTAGCATGTATAATTGCATGATGCTAGAGAATCTGTTAGTGCTTGTGCACTGCCCCCTAGCATAGTCCATTGGAAAATCAAGAATCCTGTGCAGAATAGGATTGAGTATTTTAAGATGCCAAGAGAAACCAGTGTAGTTTGGGGTTGAAAGAATATTCACTAGTGGCTGGCTATTCCAGTTTGCAATCTGATTTAAAGCCATGAGCGGAATGGCATATCCCTTGCATGGAGAACTAACTCACTTACTAGGCTTAGTTCTTACAGAGCAGCCTCTCAGTCAGTCACTGAACTGACAGGGCACTTTGCCGTTGATCAGAAAGGGTTCTGATTGTAAGCCAAGGTCATAGCTTTGATGGCACATGCTCACTAAAACAAGAAAATTCTTTGTTAAGGCTGAGACACCTTCCTTATTTCCTGAACTTGGGAATGGTGGTGTGTCACACAGATCTGAGATCGTAGAAAAGCAATGTAATTGGTGGAGGATGATAGCTTGGGGAATGGATTGGCAATTGGAGATAAAGCTTCCAAAACTCCAGGCCATTAGTTTGAAGCCAATCAGCTGCTGCTAAGGACCAAAATGCCCTTATTGCCATGTAAAGGCATTTTCATTGCCCATGGTAAAATGAGATGATCATCTCTGTCCTTTTCGTAGTGCAGAGATGTCTAGTCTACATCTATCACGACTGACATAGTTAAACCCTTGTTCATTTTTTCAGCAAAGAGGCCAGTGAGTTGATGGTCATGCAGCCTTAGCTACCCTATGCCCCTGGGTTTCTCCAGGTCAGGGTTGAGCATAGGCGACACACCCCAAATGCCATAGGCAGTAGAGGCAAGGGGCCAGCTGGTAGCTGGTGGGAAAAACTAGTGGGTGGGCTTGGCACCAGCAGTAGGGGGTCACTCTTTTTCCCCATGCACTCATCGGCAGCAGCAGGGCAAGCGAAGCAATGGCCCCAGCTCACTCTGGACGTGTCACCAGGGGGAGGGGCAGAACCACCCCCACACTCACAGTAGGAAGCAGAGCAATGCGGCTGAGGAGCAGAGCAAGCTGGAGCCGCCTTGCTCTGCTTCCCGCCCAGCTTCTGGTGAGTGCAGGAGGGGGGCGAACCTCTGCTACTGATGCCAGCTCTGCTAGTCCCGTGGGCCGCACTGCTTGGCAAGGGGAAGGTTAGGGCCAGGAGCGAGGAGAGAGCAGAGTGGGGTTATCCTGGCCCTTCCCCAGGATTTGGGGGGGTGTCACATGGCTGATGGCCCCCTTTTACCAGTCGCCTCTGAAGCTGAGACATTGCTGTGGTGTGCTAAGGAAGCATGTCCTGCTGGTGACACTGCTATACCTGATCTGTGGCTTGAGATAATTGGAAATTGAAATTGGATACATCTGGTACCTTTCATGAGCACTAGTCTTCAAACAAATAATTGTTACAATAATTTAACACACAGGAATAGTTATTGTCTATGCAGAATGATCTTGGTGGAATTTATGCATCAGAGAAACATAGTTAGGATCATTCTGAAACTCTGATTATTAACTAGGGATGTAAAATTTCAGTTAAAAAATTAATCGGTTAAGCATTATGTTTAACTAGGCCAGGCGGGCTGCTCTAGTCTGGCTGGGCCCACAGCATCACCTCACAGGCTGTTCGGGCTGGGCTGAGCCAACTGTACCCTGGGTGGGGGCTACTCCTGCCAGGCCAAGCTCACCACAGTGCAGGCAGGGGTCTGCTCGGCCCGGACCAGGCATCATTTTACCAGTTACCCAAGTAAGCATTCCGGTTCACTGGCCCAGCCAACTGGACCCTGCCCATGGAAGGCCCCGCCAGACTGGAGCAGCCACCTCCTATGGCCAGTGGTTAACTGGTTAAACGAGTTGTTTAACCGATTAACCATTGTAGGTTCTTTTAACGTCCCTAGAAACTACAGCTGCCAATCAAACAGTACCAATTTGTAACAAACAGTAAATGAAGGAGTAAAGCTGTTTTAATACCTCTATCAGCGCTAACAACGAAATTGAGTACCAGCTAGGTCTACAGCAGCAGCCATGCCCAGTGTTATCAACCTTGCCAGCAGCAGCAAATCCCTTTGCAATCCCTCTTTCAGACACTTCTTCTGTGAAGCCTATCAGCATTAATCCACCATTGAAAGAAACATTGATATAGAAAGAAGAGTTGTATTCAAAAATATATTTTTGAACCACTTTGAAATGGACTTTTGGCCTTCCAATGCACATTTGTTTTGGAAATATATATGGCATCAAACAGAGACAGTCTTCCTTTGTTTTGTGTAATTGCGAGCAAGTTAATGACACTCAACAAATAATAAGCAATAGCATCTAGCCAGAGTATTTACATCACAGATTAGACTCTAAAAGCTAGGAACAAATTCATGAGCCATAAAACCTGCACTCTTCACTTGTGCAGCAACCGCCGTCAGTTGTCACTGACCCAATCAATGGAGACTCTGAGTAATTGAAATGGTGGTCCATAATGGATGCAAGATACTTGCCTCAGGCATCTGTGTATGCAGCATTTTTCCTTTTCTTTTCATCTGTCGTCTTGCCTCATTTGCCTTTTGTCATCCTAGTTCTATTTCTTCTGGCATGAGCAAGTGCTGTCAGTCTTTCTCTTAAGATATGAACTCGAAATGGGCTTCTCTAAGCGGCTTATTTCCCTGCAAGAGAGGGGCCCACCACAAACGGGGAAATAGCTTTTTGTACCAAAAGCCACTGATGGTATAAGAATGACAGTAGACCGGTTAAAAAAAATATTGGTCCACACCCAGCAACATGATGCAGCTGCAGTAAGGAACAGTTTGGGGATAGTCACAGCCTACACTTACAGTTCGCAGTGACTCTTCAGTCCACATGTTAAAATCTGTTTCCACATTGTGCATATTATCCTTGCTGAAGCTTTTCTTTTCCTATTCAGGAGGACACCATGGAGGTAGAGGAGTTCTTAAAAGAAGCTGCAGTAATGAAAGAGATCAAGCATCCTAACTTAGTGCAATTATTAGGTAAGTGATAGAAATACCAACCAAAGGGAGTTGAATTAAACCCTTGTGTAGTGATATGGATGTTAAGGAGCAGATAAGCTTCTTTTACTATACCAAGACTTCAGCTGCAGACGCTTATTCTCTGGCAAAATTCACAGTTTGTAAAAGTAGCACTTGATTATATTTATCTCTTCATCCTTTCATGTAAGATGCAAGAGCCTAAAGCAGGAAATATAAACCAGACTACTAACCAGTTAAGAAACTCTCTTCTCCTTCACTCTCCCCCCATCCACACACTTATAAATTGCCCAAAGGATAAAATCTGTAGACATACACATTTCAGAAGGAACTCAGTGTGTTCCAAACTGTGTCCCATAGGCGTGTGTACACGGGAACCTCCATTCTACATCATCACAGAGTTCATGACTTATGGGAATCTGTTGGATTATCTGCGTGAGTGTAACCGGCAAGAGGTAAATGCTGTGGTGCTGTTGTACATGGCAACTCAGATCTCCTCAGCCATGGAATACCTGGAGAAGAAGAACTTCATTCACAGGTAAGAATGATACTGAATGTTCACCAACTTCTCAAGCTCCAGAAAGCCCTTGAATTTCAGAGTATAGCCATATGGGATCTGGGTGCAATATGTCTTATAACTTAAGTAACACCGTGATGTGTTGCATTTCGAGATGCACGGTAGAAAACCGCTACAAGAGGCAGTCTCAAGACTGCCATTCTTCCATGGTGGTTGTTCTTACCTACCCATACTGTAAAGATATCAATACAGATATTGGCCCATCTGTCATTTAAAGGTAAGGCTCATACAGAGATTCCTAAAAATCATGACTCTTTGTGAAATAAATCATCTCGTTCCTGTTAAATTAACGGTCAGCTTAATGACCTCTTCTCCAAAACTGTTGACATTCTATCCTCATACTGGGGTTCCCAGCAAAGCTACCTTGCTGCCTTTTCATAGGGCTTTTATTTGTCCCTTCTCCCTGTTTTCATCTGCTTTGCAATACTTTTCTATTATTGCATCAATAACGTGTATCTCTGTATTAAGCATCTGTGCAGTCTTTAAGTCTGGAGATTTTGACCTTTAAGTGAGCTACAATTATGGTTAGTGCTTTGCATTCTTTGTCTGAAGAAATGGCCTCCTAGCAATGTAATGACATAGCCTGGATGGAGGCATGAAAGTCTTTGCTGTTTTATTGAATACAGTACAAGATCTTCTCCATGCCACAGTTGTGACTTTTCCTACCCAATTAACTGGAATATAAAATCTGTACATATAACTTCATAAAGACGAATATGAGGATCATGTGTGAAATGCTAGAGGTTCCTTGTACAACAAACATTTCATATGCTGCATGAGAGCGAGGGTCACGTGCATGTCAATCAAAGTTAACCCCTATTTGCGGCATCTGAGTTTCTGGCTTTTGATTTATGCTGTTGTAATATTGTAGTTCTCTCAGAATGTAGCAAGTGAACTACAAAATGTTTTGCAGAATCCTGTTTGCATGCTTGTGCGCTTCATTTCCCATTATTGCTGTTAACCCAAATACCTTAAGAAAATAGTAGCTTTCTTCCTTAAAATCTGCCACACCCGCAGTCTTCTGCCCAGATATTTCAAGGGTGTCATCACAGTTCCCATCCATGGACTCAGATGCTGGACTATGACCTTATTGAATGAATCAGGCAGGAGTGGGAATGAGATTATAAAGAGGAGTTTTTATTTACACCCACATTGTAGAAATCAACACTGATATGGGGATATTCAGATCTTGACCTGACAGCTTAACGAACCTTTGGTAAAATGTACTTTTTTTTAATGAGTTCTGAAAATGATGTTTTAAAGAGTAAATAGAGTGGATCTTGCTTAGATATAAAGTAGACTTGTTAGCTAATGGAATCACTTTCTAACAATATGTGATAAAATCTGGTGGGTTTTACAAAATGCATTACTAGCAGAAATGCTTTCATGTACTTTCACAATTTTAAATACGTAATGCATTTTGACCATATTAACATTATACGAAAGCTAGTGACCTGCAGTCAGTGTGTCCCTCTCACACTGGTACATAAATAGAAGGAAGATTTCAGTTGATTGTTGCCCACTGTTCTGCAAATCAGAATCCTATATATGAGGCACAGAGAGTATTCCATTATCAGATTTTCCTAGATTGATTGTCTTTGTTGACCACCTTTGACTATCCAGGCCCTCAGGATATACATTTTGTAGTTGGTGTCAAAGCCTTTGCCAGAGGTTGTAGAATTGTACCTCATCATCATATACCTAGTGATTATTTTTATTCTGACAACAGCAACTTTCAATAAAAGTCAGGGTTTTTTGTTTGTTTGTTTTTTCTAAAAAAGGGTTTGTTTTCTGGACCCTTGCCGAAGTATTATTTGCTTATATTCTCTCTTTGCAAAGTTAAGAGAACAAATAATCTCCTCCTTTGTACATCTCTAATACAAAAAAATGCATACAACATTTTGGATTTCTTCAATAGTAAGCAAAGTCCTCTCTGCTGCTAAATGTGTTGTATTGTGAAGACCTCATGGTTTATTTCTTGTCTATTTTCTTAGGGATCTTGCAGCCAGAAACTGCCTTGTAGGGGAGAACCACTTAGTGAAGGTGGCAGATTTTGGTCTGAGTAGGCTGATGACGGGTGATACATATACTGCTCATGCTGGAGCCAAGTTCCCAATCAAGTGGACTGCACCAGAAAGTCTGGCTTACAACAAATTCTCCATTAAGTCTGATGTCTGGGGTAAGAATTTACATACATACATGCACATGACAGATGACAGCTTTTTTCTTTTCTGGCTATAAAATCAGGACATTAAAAACTCTTTCTTCAAGTATATCCCAAAATGAGGGTGGCTGGTGGCTGAAACTCTTTGGTGTGTGATCTTGTCAGATCTCACAAGCTACTCAGATGTGGGCTGCTTCAGTGTTTCAGTTTGAGGCCTAGAAGGAAAACCCAGGTACCATGCACTTTTAGTAGGTTAGGACTTTTCCTTCTGAGATTTCAGTCCTGCAAATACTTAAATTCATACTTAACTTCATGCACAAAAGGTTAATCCTCACATGTAAAAATTAAGCAGATGCGTGTTAGCAGGATAGATGCTCGAGCCAGCGCTGAATCTTGCCTTTGCACAGTACTTTGGGGTATTATGCTGTTGAAAGTTACAGGCTTTGTAAGCTACTTTTAAAATGAGACTAAGAGCCTGAGCTGTTTAAACATAAACTTTATGCGCCTAGTGATAGCCCTGAGCTCATTTTCATACATTTTTTAAAGGATTCTTTGAATGAGTTGAGAAGCAGAGAAAACTTGAAGACATGTTGATTCACTTGAAGAGTCTGGAGTACTTTCGATAAAAATAGACAGCCTGTATGATATAGCCTAAGTCCATCCATTTTGACTCACTAAATTCCCAGTGCTCTTTCAGTCTATCTTGAAGTTTTATTCTGCTGCTGATCATCCCAGTATCTAAGGGGCAAATTTTCAATGTCTAAGTGACTTAGGAGTCCAAGACCTGTTTGCATAAGTGATTTAGGGATTTTGGAGTCAGTGGCACTCAAGTACTTCTGAGGATTTGACCCCATGTGCCTTCCACGTAACATCAATTTGGCAGCAGTGAAGTGCCCAGTGGCCTTCTGGCTGGTCTTCCTTTTCATCTTCCAGAGAGCTCTGCTTGGAGAGGGTTGTATTCTTTGGCTGTTGGAAGGGGATTGTTGATGTGAATGTTCGGGTGATGGTGGCAGAGCTCTGGGTACAGTACTATTGGATAAGGTATTGATTTTTGTTTTTGCTGCCTGTGTACTGTTGCTATGAACCACTCTGCAGCTACGGTCCATCAAAGATTCTACTGTACTTTGCGGGTGGTTGGAGGGATTCCCGTGTACATTTAAATAATGTGAGAAAAGGTACTATAAAAATATAAGGTGACTTTGAATTAATAATGGGCTGAATCCTACTCAGTAGTAGTTAGGGCCTTGTGATCTGGCTCAAAATAAAGCGAGCCCTTGCCGAGTCACTCTCAGCAATGACAATGGGTGCAGGAATTTGCAAACTTCCATTCCGCTGCCTGAGGACACAATTCAGAGATGCTCATGGAAGTGCCTGGCTTAAATTGCCTTTGGTTGTTTATCATGTAATAAGATGTGATTTCTGTACTTACGCAGGAGTGTAATTGCCTTCTCTTCGGGCTAAAAACAGAATACAATGACGGAACTAATTACATGCAGGTTGTTGAATTGGTGCTGGGTCTATCCAGTTGTACTCTGAATCGCAGTTTAGTTGTCTAACCATGGGGCGCTTTCATATCCTCATCACAGTCCAATACAGATCAGACACCCAGGGCATGGACCTTAGTTTTATTTGGCTATGGTACCTTCTGTTACTTTCCTTGTAACCAAACTGTCTCACTTAGTACTTGCCTAGCTGGAAATTATCACAGTGAATTCCATCACAATGTTGGGTCTGCAGCTTCTTGCTCCATATGTCTTGATGCTTCTAGAATGGGGGCAGCGCATAAACAGTGAACTAAGTGAATGTGGGAGCCCTAAAAAGAAAAAGGGGGGACAAAGATGAGTAGAGCTGTCAGATTTACAGAGAGTCTGCAGAGCAGCAGAGAAGGCATTTCAGTTAATCCACAATGGCGCCTCTTAATTGTGCCTTTAACAGGACTTGAAGGATATCAAGGCATTCAGGTTCAAGATAGCTGATACATAAAAAATTAGTCTAATTCTGTCTTGTTGTTTTGCAGGAGACTTGTCTGTGTTGATGATAAAGCTGGTTAGATTACGTTCATTTCCAAGCTGCAGTTGAGCGTGGAATCTGAGCTTGTTTACGTGCCAGAGAACAGAAAACAAGCTTGCAAGATTTTTGGTTTGTTTGTTTCTCTTTAGAAAGAAAGTCTTTTTGCTTCTCTATTGCAGCCTTTGGTGTCCTGCTATGGGAAATCGCAACGTACGGCATGTCCCCTTACCCTGGAATTGACCTGTCTCAGGTGTATGAACTGTTGGAGAAAGACTATCGCATGGAGCGACCTGAAGGTTGTCCTGAGAAAGTCTATGAGCTCATGAGAGCATGTAAGTCTTCAAAGCCGTAGTAGCACTATACAAGGGTATGGTTAAACACAGTGTGGCACAAGGAGCCCGTCTTAGTTTCCCATTTAACATACAGCACTTGGTTACAATCTTAAACTCTGCTGACCCAGGAAGATGTAAATGTTTTGAAGTCACCCATTCTTGGCTTGGGAGCATTTCTTCTCTACTTGGAATGGAAATTGTGCTGATCTTGGGGGAAATGGTGTTAAGTCATTTCTTTGGCCCGTCTTTCCTGGGAATTTAAATTAAGGTTTGTGCCTCCATGTTTGGCCCTAGGATGGGGAAGAGGGTCTTGTTAATTGTCTAGGGGACAACTTTTCTTAGTCCCCTTGGCCATCAGGATGTCTTTTATGGTTGATTATTTGGAGGTGTTGTGTAGGCATAGCTCCCATTGGTGTCTGTGTGAGCTGAGCATGCCCAGTGGCCTTCAAATCGGGTTGCTAACATCTAAATCTCAGCTCCCCAGTCTGTAAAAAGGGGGCTGATGACATTGCACTAGCTTCACAGCCACACTGTGAGGCTTAATGTATATTTGTAAGGCTTGTAAGAAATTCTGAGGAGTAATATTCTTTCAGGCTGGCAGTGGAGCCCTTCCGATAGGCCCTCGTTTGCTGAAATCCACCAAGCATTTGAAACGATGTTTCAAGAATCCAGCATATCAGACGGTAAGACCACTTGCTCCATTCATCACACTGTCTAGCAATGGGAGAGATGGGCTAAGTGCATTGCAACTTAGAGCAATACGCTATCTGAACATCCTCATGCATTTGCTTTGCAGTGATGCATTGTAACCTTGTACGTTCCCAGTGTACAAAGGCTTGAGCGGGCACGGAGCTGCTTGTTGTATTATTTTTGTTATCCACAGGCCATCCCCCTGGCTGAGTCCTCTTCCCCCGGGTGCTGCCAGCTTGTCTTTTCCCCTGTTATCCCTTTAGAGCTTAGTATTTTTACTTTTTATTGCCATCCCTCACTTTCCTTGTGACCGTTCTTTTCTTTGCCTTTCAGAGGTGGAGAAGGAGTTGGGGAAAAAGGGAATGAGAAGCGTAATGGGTGCCGTCCTCCAGGCTCCAGAACTGCCGACCAAAACCAGATCGTTCAGGAGAGCTGCTGAAAGCAAAGATGCCAGTGAGAGTGTGGAGATGGGGCACCCCAAAGGACAGGCGGAAAGTGGTATGTGCTAGCTACAGCTGTTCTTCTCCCAGCAGACAGACTGAAATAAAATGGAAGCCCAAATCCAGAGAGAACATGGGGAAAGATGTGCCTAGTGATAAGTACCAGCTCTCTGGCTATGTCCTCTGCAGTCAGGCACTTCTCTTCCTAGGTTCACTATGGGTTTGGGACTCGATTCTCTAGCTCAGTGGTCACCAACCAGTAGATCGGGAAGCCTCCAGCAGGTGATCCTGACTGGTTTGGCCAAGAGGCTGTCAAGTGCTGGCACTTCAGCTTCCCTTCCTCACACTCCTGCCCTTTGCCTTGGACCTGCCCCTTCCCCTGGGGAGCCTTCTGCTTTCTGCGCAGGGCAGGGAGGGAGAGGAGGATGCTGATGTCAAGGTGCCCCCTCCCATTCTGTATCCTTTCTCCGCGGAGCAGAGAGGGAGCACAACAGGACTTGGGATGGAGAACATTTGCTGGTTGCTTTTGAGAGTGGTACAAGGCCAGGGCAGGGGTGAGCCTGCCTTAGCCCCACTGCACCACCACCCAGGAGCTGAGATAGGCAGGGCCCTGCTGGAGCCCCCAGCTTGAACTCTTACCCCAGTCATTAACCCCCTCCTGCACTCTGAGCACCCATGCATCCAAACACTGTCCCAGAGCCTGCACCTAGAACCCCCCTCCTACATCCCAACTGCTTGCCCCAAGAGCAGCTCAGAGCCCCTCTCACACTCCAGATCCCTTAATCCAAGACCAGAGCCTGCACCCCAGCCCTCTGCCCCAGCCTGATGAAAGTGAGGGAGGATGGAGTGAGCAGGGGTGGGGCTTCGGAGAAGGGACAGGAGGGAGGCGGGACAATAGTATTTATATTTGAGGTAGAACTTGGACTGCACTTAAATTGAAAAAGTGATCTCGTGCTTAAAAAGGTCGGAGACCAATGCTCTATCTGCTAGCGCTTCTTGTAGCCTGCTAGCACTCAGTAGTGCCCTGGGGAATTCTGAAGTGCATACTGCAACCCAGGAAGGGGGAGAGCTCCTCTTTGTGTTAGATCTGTATCTCCTAGTTTTCTAGTTGGTTCAGGGTCTGATGCAGCCTCTGCCATAAGTTAGAGCAGCCCTGAGGGCTGTTTTAGCTTACAGCTGCTGCCCAGCGGAGCAGGGCCAGAGCACAGAATACTCTTGACCACACCCTCTTCTTCACCCTGGTATCTCCCTAGGCCAGGAGCTATCAGAGGAATAGGGTAGGACTCCCTGTACTGTCCTGAAGCTGCTCTGTGCCGGGGGAATTCCCAGCAGACAGGAATTGACCTGGGAGCTAGCCCTTTTACATCCCCAGGGTGGTCTAAAGAGGCTGGATCACTGCTCAGGATCAAAGCTCTGGTATGTGCAGTACAGACTTGCTTGTGGGAAGTATTTTCTCCGCCATACCAAGTATCTGGTTTGAAACACTGACGGGTATTACTTTTGGCAGAGATCAAATATAGTTTCAGCAAGGGACACTGAGGTATTTACAGAATCTACCATGACATTAAACAACCTTTCAGTCAGTTTCTCAAAGCGTGCAGTTTCCATTTTGAGACAGCTGAAACAATGACAAAACACCAAGCATAGGCAGCTAATTTGTATCCAGAGCATTTTAAAATGCAAAGTTTAAAAAATAAAGAACTCAATAAACATTTGATCTCTTGGTCCTTGACAGCTCCTGTTAAATGTGCCAGTTCAGCTGTCCCGTCGGGAGTGAGCAGCCTGTTCTGTGTACTTGGATCTCAGAGATCTTTAATACACCTCCAAGAGAAGAGGTGCATATGCACATGTGCTACATGCATGAGAGAGGCCACCCCTGAAATTCCTCTTTGGGGCGGCTTTTAATTTAATGCAGGCGCTTGGTGGTTCTTCTGGAGAAGAGGAGTCTTGGTGCTATCTCTGAGCCTACACGCTGTGTTTACTGTGCATCCTTTTTACAGTAGGTACCTAGAGTACCTCACTTCCCATCAGTAGCAAGTGCACCGTGAAAAACATTGAGTTTAAGTCTTTGATTATTGAGGTGTTTGCCCCTGGGAGGGGATGTTAGAAACCTGAGTCCTAAAAAGTCTGTTCTGAAGACACGTCTTTCATGTTTGTTCTGCTGTGAGCAGAGGAGCTCACATGCCCGTATCTGCTCTCAGGAAGGGGTGTCCACTTCCAAGTAATTTTAAAAGCCCTTTTTGCTAACCTCTCTCCAGGTTAGTTCGGATATGAATGGTTTAAATACACACATCCCAAAAGTGTGACATCGCAATCCTGAAATTAACCTTTTTTCCAAGAATTCCTTCTGCCTCTCCAGCAGGGTCTGACCCCCCCAGGATAATTTCCAGTATATGACTATGCAACATTCTCTTCAGTCCTGCTCCATCTCCCCCTCTTGCTGCCTACTCAAGCTGTAACTGCATACAACCCCTGAAAGCTCCCGCCCTGAATTGGGGTGCTGTCTGAGCACCCCTAGTCTAATGCCTGGCCTGTGACCGAGACACCCTGTTGTTCAAATACTGGGACCTTCAGGGCTCCCAACCAATGTATTAACCCCCTAGTCGTTTTCAGGTATTTCTCCTGTGAGTGGGAAACGCGTCTCCCTACTCCTTTACAAGCAGCTCCACGGGAGCCAGCTCTTTCTCCGTTGTGCAAGGCGGCCTGTCTTCACAGCGACATGGGGCCCAGCTGCTGCAGTGACCTTGACTTCTCCAAGTGCCATGAATGCTTGCGCTCTCCCGAGCAGGCTACCAGAGGGGGCGTTATGGGCACTGTAGGGTGACCAAGCAGGGAGAGGAGTATATGGGTACACACTGAGGTGGCCAGATTGTGACTCATGAGCTGAGCCACATTT